TGATTAACTGAATTTCTTACCCAACAATTAAAAGCCAGGAGAAATACCCATGTTTTCATGTTGAGACTAGTTAACCCTATTGACTTGTACCAAGGGGTTTCACTTGGTTAAATGAAATGCAGTTGTACTTCTTGACTCATTGAAACCAGGCTGGGTCCTAACTGTGCCAGCCTGTATTGATTTAAAGAAGCTTGCCGGCAAAAAAAATAAAATAAAAAAAAAATTAAACAATTAATTAAACTAGCAAAAGGAAGTATGCTTTTTAATGAGGGGGAAAACCCCCCCCCAGCCCCACAGGTTGTCCATTGGGAGGGACAGTGCCCTTACATAGCAGGACAGCCGGGCTATGTGAAGCCTGTGCCAAGACAGGTTATCTGTCACGGTTTGTTACATCCTGATCTCACCATGCCCAGGGCTTTCCTAGAGTCATCACGGGAGCGATTTAGACTGTAGCAATTAAAAGATGGTAAAATATAACGGATGGAGAAGTTTGCAATTAAAAAGCAACAGCAGCATCAGCAAACCGTAGGTGTTCCCATGACATTTGCAATCATATTAAAATATCCAGCCAGCAAACTACCCATCCACTTACCCCAGAGGCCCTTATGCCCTTCCAAAATTGCTAAAAAACGATAAGCCAACTCTTACCGCTCCACCTTTACCCAACAAAGTCTCTTTTTTTTTTTTTTGTTACCTCCGACATGAATTGTTGCATAATTGACATTCCCATTGTCGGGCAGAAAATGTATCTGAGCCAGACCTGTGCCCACAAGCACCAGCATGCGCTATACAGGGGCACAAGGAGTTGTGCAAGAAATGCATCCCTCCGGGAAGGTTGTAAGAAAAGGCTGGAGGATTATAACAACTCTCCAGTTTCTTGCATGCACGCAATGAAGGGCTCATCCCCAGCCCTGGGGTCGTCCCTGCTCTGTGAATAAAGCAGCGGTGCAGAAGTGATGTCTCCCAGCTCAAGTGCAGCCCTTCCCCGATGTGCTTGGCTGCTATTCCAGCCCCTCTAATTGCCCCCCCCCCAGCCTGATTAACCTCCCAGGAACCAGCTATTCATCCCCTGTCCCATTCACCCGTCCACACAGGACAGCACCTCCGTACCCGTGCTCCCAAACAGCTGTTGATCAAAAAAAGGCAAATAAAATGTTCTCGAGCTGCACGGAGCGCCCTGGGTTTTTTGTTTTTTGGGGTTTTTTTTTTACTGATTTTTAAAGCATTTATTACGAGGCCAGCTGGCATGAAAGGGCCACTGATCAGAGACTCCGCAATGTGTTTCTGATAAGCACAATTTTCCCCCCTCTGTCCTTCCCCCAAACACATTCCAGCTTCTTGGCTTCTGAACTTGCAACAGGGGGAAAAGCCCCTGCGATGAGAGACAAGGGCTCTTCCTCGACTTGAAAATGGTCTGGGGTCAGAGACTCCCCGTACAAAACGTCCCTGCCTCCAATTCACACTCCCTCCTAATCCCCCCCCCCTAAATTCGCACCTCCTTGCATAATTATTCAGGTCCAAATTAAAAAAAAAATGCATCTGGATCTTGGGATCCAGTTTGAAGAGATAGCTGCGGGTGATTCCTGGAGAACTTTACCCTGCCAGCACCGCTTCAAGTATAAAGGGGGATCTCTAACCTGGTTTTCTTTTACCCCGCTGGGTTATTGCCATTAGTGTTTTGTAAAAAGAACTCACCTTTTATACCCTTTCCCCTCAACCAGTGGAAAAGCAGTTTGTAAAGATCCAGGGTGAGACCAAAAACAAAATCCCCACCAGTTCTGTATGATAATCCTGCTGCTGCAGTTTGGCAAAGGAGAGATTAAGCTGGCTAGATCCAAAGCAGCGCTGGAGTTAAAGTTCCCCAGCCCATCCAGACAGTCTGCATCAACCAGGCATATCCTCAGGGGGCTTCTGTAATGCTCTCAGCTCCAGTGTGTGCTTTTCTTTCCCTCTCCTCTATCCCCTCTAATTTTAATTTGATTTCCGTTTTCCCCTTATCAATATTTCAGCTGCTCCCTCTAATTAATCATTGTAATGTGACATCCTCGCCTGTCACAGCCACCCCAAGACCCTCCCTTGTGCTGTTTGCAACTTTGAGGAATTAAAAAAAAACAAAAAAAACAAACCCACAACCTTCTTGAAATACATGCACGTATATTGTTGAGGAGTGAAGCCAAAAAGAGACGCTGAGTGGAGCTCAAGTGCTACTTTCAGCCCCCTTTTTTAAGAAAAGGAAGTTTCAAATATCCGTTTTCAAATCATCGTTCCTCAGTTTGGGCTTTTTGGGGGGGATCCTACCCCATTTCCCCCTGAGCCCCATCTGGAGGAATCGCGCCACAGTGTCACGGGGCTGTACACACGCGCGGGGAGAAACCTGCTTGTTTTCAGCTCAACCATTTAAAGCGCCCGGCACCAACCCCTTCCCATCTTCGTTATTTATTTCTGCTCACGTTTGCAAGGGGGGAAAAAAAAATCCGGGAGGAAAATGTGCTGCTGTGCGGGGGGAGGACAGGAGTGGCCCCATTAGGGGGGGAGCACAGACGAGTTTGGGTGAGCCACCAAAAGTATTTGGGACATTTCCTTCCCCTCGATCCCGGGTCTCCCTTCACCCCGGCTCCCAACATATTGAAACATTTTTCTCCTTAATAAGAGGAGCCGGAGAGCGCGGAGGTGAAAGGGCAGCGCGGGAGCCGCGCTCGGGGCGCGGCGCAATTTACTCCGGGGCAGACGGGAGTCCCGGCAGTGTCCCGCGCCGGGACCCCGCAGGATCCCCGCGCCGCCCCATTGCTGGTGGATGGGAAAACGAAGCCGGTTCCCAGTGTCGGGGAGAAAGGGGCTCCGGGTCGTGACTCAAACGGGGACACGCTCACGGTCCTTGCCACGTGCCCGGCTCGGCGTGACACAACCAAGTCGTTTCCCACCCCTTGCACGCGTTTCCACTTGTGGACTGCACACACACGCACGAAAGAGGAGAGGTTAACTGCTGCTCGTTATTTTAAGCGGGGCTTGAAACCCATGTGAGCGTGGTAGCGTATGTATTTTCTCCCTTCCCCCGGGTTTTGCTTTTTTTTAGCACATCCTGA